ATATAAAACCATCTTGATATAACACCACAAAATAAAGCGTTAAAAATAAATATTTTAAAAAATAAATAATTGTACGTACTATATAAACATTCGTATAAAAATTACATATTAGATAAATGAATATAATGTTTATAAAATATCGTCCTCTGGAATTAGAAAATGGCATCGCAAACAGCCCACCCCACAATACCCGTAATATATTATTATCAACATCTAGCTGCTGTTCACACACTACCGCGAGAGGGCCTGGCCCGCATGACGTGACGTACTTCCGGTAAAAAGCGTTACAATTATCTAATACAAAATACGCCCGCTGCTCGTTCTTCTGTTACATTCTTTGGTAACTCCATAAAAAAAATTTGGAATTTCCTGAATGTTGCTCTGAGCTTAAAATATAATAATTAACATCTACAGATGTAAACTAAGGTGTTTCCTGGCTTTGTTCAATATGAATAAGTAAAACACTACTTTAAGGTCTGTTTTCAGGTTAGTTTTTAGGTTATTATTATAGAAGTACTGTAATTGGAGTATAATATAATAATCTAGGCCTAGGGCCTAGGTAGGTAGGCTAGGTTAGGCTAGCCTAGGTTATATAGGCCTAGGCCCTAGAGTAGTAGCCTAAGTTTAACAGGTAGGCTTAAGCCAGGCGTAACTAGGCATAGGCCCTAGCGCCCGCGTGTTTTGCTTTTTCCTTACCGTAGGACCACAAACGAAATTAATACAGGCTATGTCCTCACACGGCAGCTAACGGTTAGCAGGAAAGTTAGATGGGCACTCTGGCCTGTGAGCCCCAAGATTCTGGTTATAAATAAGTATAATATAGGTATAGCTTGTGTACTTTGAATTTACATACTATTACTAATTACAGAATACTAAATTATTACTGCAATATTCATTAAAATGTGTTTAAAAACAATGTTTATGCATAATTAGTAAACAACTTTTGTATAAGAAAGTTACCAGATGTATCAACTAAATATTATTTCAGATGTGAAATATCAGCCGAGGGTCTTTAAAATAAAGCGTATAATCCCAGAAAGCATGTCCACAAATAACAAGGTAAGTGTCTATAGTACAGTAGAAATAATTACTAACCCTTAACTATTCATTTAACAGAGTTTCCTTCACTAATACTAAACATTCACAATTTCTGTCGTATCATATAGAATGCAGATAAAGAATAGAACATTTATATTGTATGTTTCATGAATAGAAAAATGTTGTTTTCAAAAATGCCTTAAAGTTGTTTATACTTATTAATGTAGCCTCTGTGAGTGCCTTTATCCAGAGCATCATCATAATCGTAACATTATCAAAAACCCTAACCAATCAATTGGTAGAGTACTTGCTATAATAAATTGAATCAGCCCTTGAAATTAGCGTCGGCATTCGGCAATGCCGACGTAAAAGCCGACGTTCAATGAGCTTACCACGGCAGCGATTTGCCGACGCTCTTTTTCTTAGGCCTAAGGCCAGATCGTTCGTGAGGCCTAAAATATATATTTTTCTCAGCTTGTGTGTCAGAGGAATATTAATTTTTCCAACATAACGTTTTCTGTAAATTACCTTGTTTATGATCTAATTATGTTTCTTAAGCCTACCCTGGCCTAGAAAACAACGTACTGTTTGTTTACGCATTAGGAGTTCACGATACGCAGCAAGTTCACGTTGTTCATGCAGTCTGCAAAATCTCACATAGAGACCAGCAATTTGGGTTATGTTGTGATTATTTGTCATTTAAAGCAGTCGTAAAATAAATTACCACTTTATTAATTGTGTATTAAAATGTGATGTTTTATTGTTTATATCGTGAATAAAATTAAATAAATTAAGGAATAAAACTGATTTATGTTTTGTATTCCTGTTTTACCTGTCAGTGGAATGGAACAGGATAACTCCCTTGTGACCCCTGGGGCAAAGCGCCTAAAGCTGTCACGTGATATGAATGTCTTGGGCAACCATGTGATGATGTGTGGAATAAATCATTAAGGGTAGAGGTTATTTGTTTTGGTTTTATTCTTTTAATTTAATTTTTATATAAACTAAATCTCATAATGAAATTTAGAGAGGGAGTAGAGTTGATTATCTGGTACGAGAAAAACATCCGCACTAGGACTTACCACTAGGCCTAGCTATGGAGATGGTCTAGCCTAGACCATTCACCTCCACAATATCTTATGTTTCCATGACATCAGTGTGTGTGAAATCTTGGTTGCCTTTTTATTCAATCCCACGCTATTCTTATAGCCATTGGTTTTATTTTGTTCCTTTTGCCTGGGAATGCCCAGTTTGATATACTGAATAGTCTAGTACATCGTCGATTATGTGTGATTGTTATTGCTTTGGAAAAAATCCAAATATAAAAAAATGCCGACGTGTGCCGACGCCTGTCTAGTTTACGTCGGCATTTTTTTGCCGACGACATTTCGTCCTAATTTCGAGGGCTGTTGAATAGATATCATTTTCTCCAACCATAAATTGTAGTTGATTCTTTTATGTTAGTCATAACTTAATTTGATTTTTATAAAATTTGCTTCAAAAAGGATAAATTGACAAGTACAGAGGTTGAAGGAAGAGATGACCTGTATAATTTCTACCTGCATGTTCGAACCTACATGGATGATGTCAAAGCTAATGATGCTGAGCTCAGAAGAAAAGTAAAAAAAATTAGAGCTAAATATAATTTCTATGTTCATGCAGCTGATATTGCGAGAGTGGCAGGAGGAGTTGTAGGAGGAGTAAGGCATGCACTGCATAAAGTTGAAGAATTAGCACTAAGTTTGTACAGAAGTCCATGGAAGAAAGAATTGTATACGCTCAAGGTATGGTTATGTAACATTTTTGTAAGATACACCTTCTGCCAGCAGGTGGCGCAGCAATTGTGATTTCAGCTTTAAGCTTGGGGTCAGTTCTGACAACATACTTGCATCTATGGGTATATGGTACTTTACCCACATTATATTTACTGTGTTGAAGAAGGTACCTGCAGGGGCGGATCTAGAATTTTTCAAAAGGAGAGGCGTGGGGGCACAACATATTCAGAATAAATAAGTGAGAGCGCTAATTTCAATATATGCTTTAAAATTTTAAAATTTAGTGGCAAAACTAAAGGGGGGGGGACATGGCCCCCCTTCTACTTGATCCGCCACTGAAAGCCTACTTTAAAATAACAAAGCTCTGATTATTAGCTGCTGCTCAGGAAGCCAAGGCAATTTTTGTTGTTTTTCTTACTAAGTGCATCATTTATGACAATTCACATATTATTACACAATAAAAAAAAAGGGTGTTTATAATGCAAGTTACTTAATTAACATCTTAAATATATTTAGTTTTATTTTAGTCACATATAAAGCTATATCTTTATTTTATTTAACATGTTTAATTAATAAATTCTTTTATTATGTTATTTTATATTAATTACATTTATTAACTAAACTGTACCATTTGCTTTATACTGTACACAATTGTCTTAATGATTAAAAATTTACAATCCTGTTTCATTTTTCTTTACCAGATTCATGGTGTTCTCATCAAAAATTATCTTCAGCCGGCACTTACCAATTACCAGTTTCTCTTAAACAAGTTAGGCTATGAAAGAACTGGAAACAAATTTGTATTAGATATCTATAATGAAATGAGAAAAGAGGGTCATTATTCCTCCTCTTCTATAAATGAATATTTGTACTTTGTATTTAGAGATAAGGTTGCAAAGGTAGCATTTGATTTATATACATTAAAAATGAACGAAACCGAGAATATTCCTGAAAAATTTATTGTACATGCACCACCAAAAGGTCATTCACCTCACCACAGCTTTAGCGGTAATATCCAATATCCAACCAGCTCTCACGACAATACCGGAAGTGATATGTACGGCAGGAATGGAATTGATACTTACAACAACCAAAGAAGAGATTTTGATCTTAGAAACCTTAGTTCTGATGATCAAATTAGTAATATCACTACTATTTTTAACAATGTCAACCCTATAATCACAGTACCTAACTTGGCAGTGACTGAACAAGAAAAGAGGAGGATAGAATCCTATGAAAATTCATATCCTGAAGAAAAAACACAAGTAACAAAGCATAATTTTGGTGAAGCTAACTTGGCAGCGAAGGAACAACAGAAGAGGATGACAGAATCTTATGAAAATTCATATCAGGATGAAAAAACACAACCAAATAAAGCACAACTCCAGAAGTTTGGTGAACCAAACTTGACAGCAAAAGAACCAGAAGGTATGACACAGCCTAATGTGACACCTAATGAAGAAGAAACAAGAAACAAACAGCCATTAAACAAGGAAAGCTTTATTGAACTGGAAAGAAAGAAAGTTAGCAAAAGTATAATTGGTGATAAACTTTGCAATCTAATTCCAAAGAAGAATTCTGTAGAAAAAAATGAAAACATTTTGAATGATAAAATATTGTCTAAAGTTAATTTTAAGAACATAGAAGATGTTGAGGCAAGAAAGACTGAGAAAAAGACAAGCTCACCAAATTCGAGTCTGGGAGTTCCTTCTGGGAATCAACCTCAAACACAAAAGCATGTGGAACGTAATAGTGAACGTTCAACTGATGTTGAGTTACCAGCAAACAGTGTGATGAATGCAGGTAAAACCGAATTGAGTAGTGAAAATTCGACTGATGAAAAATCAAGGTTGCCAAACTCGAGTGAAAGTGTTGGAGATAATTCAAAGTGTCAGCCTCATGGCATATCTAATAACGAATGTATTAGTGGAACAGAGGGAACACATGTCATTTCTAATAATAAATGTATTAGAGGATCTGGCGGACCAGCAACTGATGGCAGTTACAAAGGATGTTCTGGAGCTTTCTCAACAGATATTGCATACAGTAAAACTGAATTGAATAATAGTAAGTTGCTTGGGCCTCGATTAAAAGATCATTCCACCACACGAAAACAACATAAGACTTCATCATTTAATGAGGAAACTATTTCAAACCAACTTCTGCTGTCGAAATACGCAAGAAACCGAAGTTTTTCTGATGAAAAACCAACAAATACTTATGATGAACCCCATAGCCATGCATCCGCTGTAAAACAACACAACACACGCAGTGTAGCTCGTAGTCAGGTTTCTTCAACTAAAACTTCAACCTCGACCGACTTCAAGACATACATAAGTAGTGGTAGAGGTAGCAGTACTGATAATTATGTAAATGTTAAATCCAACACACCATCCGGTCATAATGTAAATCAATGCACAAATTGTAGTGCGAAAGAAGGGAATCAGTTAATTTGTCAGGATTGTAAATGTGTACTTCCTTTATGTTCGAAATGTTATGTAAAAAACCGTTTTAAGTGTCAGATTAGTAGTGGTGGCTATCACAAGTTTCAATCAATTTACCCTGAAGAGACAAGTGTTTAGAATTATATAGTTGATGTATTATATACAAGTGACTGGAAAAGCATTGCATTTAAACTAGCAAATACGTCATTAACTAGTATAAACTTATGTAAATTATAATATACTACATAAAGTGTCAAACATATTTTCTGCTTTGTGATGGTGCACTTTCTGGAATAGATTATCAACAAATCTAATTAATATGTGGCTATCGACTGCACTTGCACCTCAAATAGGTATTTGTACCATATGTTAACATAATTCATTCAACATGATTACAGTTGATTTGAAAATTATTTTGATAATATACTGTAGCTGTTTTCAAATTTAGTATATATATA